CGAAGAAAAATCGTTGATTTAATTAAACGAAAAGTAAAATTAACAACTGTAGTAGCTARTAGATTTATATTTTTAAGTTTTTTAGAATAAAAAAACAGATACCAAAATGTATTTTAGTTGTATATTAGGTATAATGATCATGTGCTTTGGCAATAATGTACGAGTACACAAACGTACACATATTAAGGAGAGATATACATAATTTTTTTTAAACTTTAATTTCTATAAGTACTAGACTTAAGTTATTCACTTAACGCCAAGTATTTTTTTTCAACATAAAATTTCGTTTATAACTTCAAAGTTAAAATTCATTGCATTTTTATGCCAAAARCTACAAAAATTCATAATTTTAATGACTATTTTATTCCCATTCAAAGCTATATTATTTAATGAGGTGGCATAAATTAGTATAAATATTTATAAAATATAGAATAATAAAAAAGAAAAATATTTTAAAGTAAATTGTGTAGAAGCTATTAAATTTCACAGTGCATGGAAACCTTTTAAATTTCAAACTAATGACTAATTAATAATGATGAGTAATAAATAATAATTTATAAGCAATAACTAATAAAAAAAAATAAGAATAAGTGTTAAAATCATTGAGAGGTCAAGAGTTATTAACATTTACTTAACTACATGCACCTATCAATTATATTTTCTACTTAACAAATATTAATGTTCGCCGATATTAATAATTATGAAGAAGATTCTTAAAAAAGTTTATTGAATCTGTACAGCAAACACGAAGAATATACCTATTTTCACCAATTATCTAAGTAAAATATTATAATTTGAGTGTAATTTATTATTTATTTTTATATATCTGCGTACACAATGGTTTTTTGTTCTAGGGTTTTTTCATTTTCTTCGAATCATACATTTTATTCAGCGTTAAAATATTAAATTTTTTAATTACACTTCAACTTAATTTTATTTTTATTTTTTATTTACAAAAATTTACTTTCGGCGACATAGGTCATTAGGTTCAACTTCATTTGATATAAATAAATAATATGTATATAATTTTTTTTATGAAAAATATCATAAAACTAATTTCACTTAAATTGTTTTGATTGTAGTTGTACCAAGTTAGTAATATATATATATATATATATATATTAAATTATGGATGTTACAAACAATATAAAGTAACTTCGTAGTTCATACTTGATTTTTTATATTATTATTGGCTAGGTAAATAAGTAATAGTAATAAATAGTGAACGGATTTATATGTAAATGTATATTTTCATTAAAACAAGATATTTGAGATCCGATAAGATATGTTCATAATCTAAATCATTCCTATCAAAATTATGCTCCCTTTTTTTTACATATTTCACTAATTTGTAAATATTTTTAAACATATTTTATCATTTCGCAATTTATACGTTTTCAAGCCATGTTGCAGTGAACAAAACCAGCCATTTATCCTTATATATTGTCGATATTTAGTAGTTATCGTTAGTTTTATAGCCATTATCTTATAAGTTATAATCTTATAATATAATATAATATTATAGATATCTTAACCCCTTACTATACATTTATATACGAATGACATCGATGACAGACAATAGCAATAGGTTTTTATCGTTAGTGATTGGCTGTAATCGTAATCGTACGTACCTAAAAAAATTCAAAAATGGCAAAAATTAGTGAAACTATATTTCGTCCAAAGTTTCTCAGTACATTATTGAATTTCAAAAAGAAAACTTTAAAAGCAATGATAAGTTTCAATATATGTCACGTGTTTATCGCATTTTTTCCCACATATTTTCTAAATTATACTTTCATATATGTATAATATGTACATATAACATATTTCTGTATTTTTATTACATATAAATCCGTTCCCTAGTAATAAGTTATAGGTATTTAGAGGATTTAGATCAAAAGCTATCTATAAGGTCCAAAAATATTTTTTTATTAAATATAAAGACCTTGGCAGCTCTGGCCATTGGTCTGACAGTAAATGTTGTTATATAATATTAAGGTATTTTATCCAAAAATATTAATTTGATACGTATTACGTTTTTGACATTCTTGCCGGAGTTCTCCAAGGTAGCGATATTGCCCCTTTTCTATATAATATATTCACTCACGACATTCCCAAAACTTCCTATRCCGAACTTGGTTCCTACGCGGGCGAGACGGCAATTTTAGCAACCAATGAAAATCCATTATAGYCTCAAATATGATACAAAAACACCTCAATATTATACACCTCTGGACAAAGAGGTGGAAAATCAAAATCAACGAAACCAAGTCCTCATTCATAACTTTTACCTTAAATAAAAAAAACTTGTCYTCAAATTTCAATGAACAACATTCCAATCCCTATTTGCACACAAGTAAAATACCTTAGTCTTACTTTTGACACTAAACTAACCTGGAATCCTCACATAGTTGATAAACGAAAGGCCCTTAATTCCCGTCTACACCTCCTAACACCACTATTGAGATCTAAAATGAACATTGACACCAAATTACTAATTTATAAGTCTCTACTCAGGCCGCTATGGACATACGGCATCCAATTATGGGGAGCCGCAAAACCCTCCAACACCAGATCAATACAAGCGCTCCAGTCCATCTGTCTCCGTCTAGTTTCTTCTGCTCCATGGTACATAACAAACTCCAATCTTCACAAAGACTTAAAAATACTAACCCTAAATCAAATCTCTAAAACATACTACATCAGATTTCATAATAAACTCCAATCACACACTAATCCACTAATCAAAAAATTATCATCTAAAACTCTACCCGACAACCCTCGACGAAGACTAAAAAGAAATTGGTGTAGGGATCTTTTACATTAACAATCATTAGTCAATTACTAACGCACGTGCTGGGTGTGGATAACTTCCCAATCTTAATATTCGCCGTCATTTTATATTCTCTTCTTTTTTTTATCAAATCTTATTACTGTACAAAAATTTGTATAGATTGTAGATGTATTTTAAATAAAAAAAAATTTAAAAAAAGGTATTACGTTATATTAGCTATATTTATTTTCAATCCTTATAATTTTTGATAKTATTAAACGATATTTTAAACAATTTTAAGACAATAATTGAATAATTTAGTCTAAACAGTCATTATTGCTATATAAGACAAATATTTATGTTAATTCAAAAAATACTATACAGTGATTTAAGTATGAGAATTATGTTTAAGACATGATTTATTTATTATTTAGCAAAGATTTATCCAATGCATAGAAATTGTTTTAAAATGTCAATTGTGACAAATTAAGATAAAATAACAAATTTTTTTTCAATATTCGTAAGAGGTTATAGTGGCGGTTATTACACAGTCAAGCGTACCTACTTGTTTTGTTTTTGACCGAAAATCGATTTTAAACGCAGATGGGAAAAGAACTCCCGGAGAAAAAAAAGCATACATTTTTAATGATGAACGCGCATGGAAAATAAATTAATGATATATACTACATTTTATAATTATTGAGGTTTGTCTTTAACATACTTTCTACAAGTGAATAGATTTTTTTATTACATCATGTCCTAATATGATTTGTTGATGTGATGTGCATTTATGCATGGAATTTTCAAATATTGCCACAGATAAATAATTACTCTGAAACGGAATTCTAATAAATCCTCCAACGACAGAGTGTGCGTTAACAATTATAATTGAGATAATATTAGTATTATGAAGGCAAATGCGATGAAATTCAAACGGTTCCTTCAGCGACTTAAAAGGATTATGTATACACGATGTAGAAATGTATACATATATATATATATATATATATATTATTAATGAATATTAATTGAAATAGTTTTGTTAATTTTATCCGAAATTAATCTGAACGGATTTTCCTCAGAAATGGAAATTACCTGTTTCCGCCAATAACTAAAATTATTGTTTCCAATAAAGGCGGTGCCCGTTTCTTCCAAAAGTTTCAAATTTCAACCAAAATTGTACCTTATTGCCTTATTCCACCAATACTCAATTCAACCAAATTATAGATATTGACACGTTTCCACCCAACAAATTCGTATACTATTAAAAGCTGTATTACTGTATACAAGTATATGAATAAATGTAACTATATATAAAGYACAATGTAGGTATTTACTCGTTTCTATTATATTAAATAAATCCTGAATAATAGATTGCTGAATACCTATAATAGGTATAGTAGGTATACATAATTTAATATTTAAGGAAAATGAAAGTATCTGGAAAGTAGTAAGATAAACGAAATTTTGAAACTAAAAATAGATATAAGATTATAAATTTCTAAAATTTTCAACAATTCTATTTCATACTGAATACTTTTTAGATGAGTATTAATACAATTATTATATTATATTAATAATTCACTTTAGGTGTTCAAATTTTTATTTCTACTTAAATTCTTCTTTTTTTTTTTTATGAATATTTTTTATATATTGTGCAATTCACCATAAAATAGACTGAATTCYCCACTAGAATTAATTAAAATAATAAAATATATTCATTAGATATTTATTAATGAATCTTATTGAAAGTATAATTGCTTACAAACTAAAATAAATAWATAGGTACGTATCTAATTATTTTAGCTACCTAAGTTGACGCTGTGTGATTTAAGGTAATGCATTTTGGCGTTAATCACAAGACGGATGATCTTAAATCTAGATTTTAATTTAAATATATAGCAATGGAAAAATAATGTGAAAATATTTTTTCATAGAAAACAGTGATTAAACGATAATTAAGTTGAAATTATTGGAGAACAGCAAATATCATAGTAACCCATTTAATTAATATGTATTATACACACAAGCAAACAGCTTCAGACTTCATTACATAAATTAAATTTAAAATATTTAAAGTGTGACACTTAGTTCTTAGATTAAAAAATGTATGTTATTAATTTTATAACAATATGATCAATATTCAAACTTCATGATCTAAAGTTATAAATAAAGGAAATTGAATCCAAATCTTATTAATTATTTTAATTTATAAATAGCATCATACCTTTTCGAGGGGTTCCAATTTGACTTTTAGTTCTTCCATCTTAGCCAATAATTCCCTTTCTTTTTTTAATTGATGTTCTTCAACGTTTAGTGATTCGTACAACTGGCTAACTAGAGTCCTGACGCCAGAAAGCCGTTCCATTTCTTCCTAAAAAAATAAAGAACATACATAGACTCAAAACTATTGAAATATCTAATTAAYAATAATAATAAATTATTAATTTTAAATTCAGAACAAATAGTCACACAACACAATACCAGTCATTCGCACACTACATAAAAAAATCATTATTTACTAATATTTATGTTCCATGTAATTACAATAATCAGTTAATAATTATAAATCTAATTTATTATCTTTATTATTTTGGTACCTAAAAAAATTAAAATCACAGACATTGTACATCATATCCGAGTATCCGACATTAGATACATCGCCTAATTAGATATAAAAACTACATGACATTTTACATTATACTTACATACCCATAATAGGCATAATATGTTGGTCAAACTAATGAACCCTTCTTAAACCGAAATCGATCATGATAAAGTAAACTATCTGGTTTTTTAACAAAACGTGAATATAATATTATACGAGTACCAACCTATAATTTTTAAATGGATATAATGTACATAGGTACCTACACTTTTTTTTTCGTTGTTTCGTGTTTAAGAGTAGTAAATTGTAAAAGCTTATTAAAGAAATAACAAAATTATTATATGTAATATCTAGCAGGGTAATATATTTCAAACAGAAATAAATGTAACATCATTGTTTTTTTTTAAACCTTTGAGACATCTTACTTTTGGATATTATTACTTACAATATTKATAATATTATTTTGTTTATAAATTAAATATACAGAATGTTTTTTAACATAAAGATTAATTTTTAGTTTGACGCATTTATAAAAATACTTCATTTCAATAACGCTGAGGTTTTTTCTTTTGGGCATAGGAGGGGGTTCTCTGGTCTGTATGCGTGACAGAAATAATATAATATATTTTAAGTAACTATAAACTTTAAATTGTACAATTTTGTAAAAAACACAATGGTAAACATTGTTAATGAGCGTTAAAAGAGTTAAAAATAATTATTATTTATGTCCATATTATATTATTATGAGTTTATGCAAGGGTTAACATTTAAATCAATGATCGAAAATATAATTTCCATAACCTTTACATGACGAATTTCATATAATTTTCTAGTGTTTTAGCTTTAAACATATATATAACATATTAYATTGCATATTACAATGACATTTTTACGATATTCTATTTCTTTATTATYATTTATTTGAATTTCATATGCCAACGATAAATAGTTACTAATGTTGTAAACCAACCATATAGAAATATTTTTATAATAATTCTTAGATATTCTGAATATGATCATTATACTTTGTTTTATTAACATTGAATTATAAAACGCTTCAAAATGTTATAATTCAGAATACAATGAAACGTTTTATTATACAACAACATAGTTTGATAATTAATCTGCAAAATTATAATATTAGCATGCCAAATTTACTATCCCAATAGTAATACAGATCATTTAATATTTATAATTATTTTGTGGTCTAATGTTGTAACCCTATTATATTGGTCATAAATAACGATAATTTTGTATAAGTCGATATAATAATTTCGAACTCAATATTCATCAAAATACCTACCAACTTTAGATACAGAACAGATATTGTATAAAAACTATGATATTGGTAAATTTCATGTTGTATAAAAATCGCTGGTGGAATTATGGTTTTTGTTGATCTTATACTGACATTTAGCAGTTTTTAACAAAATGTGGAATCCCAGTACAATATTTTAAAATTAACTAATTCATTTGTCCTAGAACTTAACATAAGTAAATTATTTATGAAAATAATTATACATATATAAATATGATACAGAGTAAACCAATTACACAAGATTGGTTATCGTATGAATGTATATGGTTTTAGGTTGTACAAACCTTTGTAAGCTTCCTGTGCGGTGGTACTTTAACCATAAACTCTCGATCGTTTATGACTAACCGAAAGTCATCTTCCATGAGCGATTCGATTGTGTTGGAAGACGCTATACGAACACCCTCTGAGCTGGATATAACTACGCGGTCGACACCCGGATCCTCGGTCTTCAACATTTTGGTAAAGTCRCCGACCGTATTTGTCACTGGCCGCAAGGTAAACTGACAAAGTTCGCGCCTAGACGGCAAAGGAACAGTGACCGTGGGCAATCCTCGTCTGAGCTCGACATGGATTTCTGCAAAAACATAATGCAAATATCAGTAGGTACATAAATTATAAAAGTAGGACGTTTTTAAGTAGAACGAATTCAATTTAGATGGGGGTTTTAAGTAAAAATGCTCAAAAAACAAAAAACTGAACACGCTATTTGGTAATTTCACCGTTTCGTATGCTAATATATATTATGATAAAATAGTAGACGGATCTTAAATATTTAAGCCCTCGTAATTACATGGAATAACTTACACTTAACGGGGAGTTGGAATAAAAAGCTTATTGTTATAATCTATAGCCTACAAAATTACCAGATCGCTGATTTGTTTTTTATACTTACACCACCGATCATAAAAAGGCATAACTACAAAATATTTATTATATTATATGAAAATATAGGAACCACCGCGTGGTCCTTACGAAAACCGATTACATCAGCAGTACCAACTACAAGCAAAATTATTTGTAATACTATATTTGATACTTTTTTTTTTTGTAAAAAATATTACTCATACTTATTAGATACAACTATCTTTTCCCACTTTTATAGTTTATAAACGAAATTTGACGAGTATAATAGTTATTACGGAACAGTAATTATTTTCACTTCATAGTAAATTTCATTATCACTTCCACATCTATGTTGTTGTATATAAAGTGGCTTGCCTAATTAAATGCATGATAATGTAACATAATCATACATAGTTTAAAGAAAAACTGCATTAATAATAGATATATAGTTATGAAAAGAAAGTAACATCACCCAACACGCGCGCGAGAAGTGTATCGTTCCAGTAGGTCTATCAAGTGGGCAAGTGAAAAAAAAATGATATACATCAAGCATTCTTCTTAATTAAGATTAAAAAAATGGGTTTAAGATGATTACAGGAGTATGGACAGTGCAGTCTGCGAGCTCATTCGTTCGGCCGACGTACAGTAGTTCAGTTCTTGGATACGATTTACGAAGCCGTTGTTTGCAGACTTGCAGTATATATATATACCTACACGTACTATAGGTAAGTCTTTAGTATTATTTTTATATTTATATTTCTTTGCCTCTTTAGGATAATTATTACACGGTTTTTTGAACGGATATGAACTCGTTTGACGATTGTCGAACACATAAAGTAAATTACACATTTGTTTTTCTCGAATTTCCGTTAAAATTTCTATTCCGAAAGCCTTCGTACGCTGCCCGACAAATTACCTACTGTACAAAGTATAGTAAAACGTGGAAGTACGCGAAGTTCTAAAAGTCATTAATTATAATGCGGAAAAATCCCTCTCGGCAAAATAAATTGCTCCGCGTCAATCAAGTAGTTATATATATATATTTATATGGGACCGTTATTAATACAATTTATACACATCCGAATTATGTGTGTATAATAAAATAATAAGTGCATAATCAGCATTAGCCTTGATGTGTGTTGATGTAAAAAAATTATATCAAGTTTATAAAAAAAAATTTTTTTTGACGGTAATTAGTGTGCTGGACGAACCGTGCAAGGTTGCGGCCGACTTATCGATTGTACGCGTTCGAAATACTGTTGGTTTACAGGAATACGAAGGGTTTTCCGATAAAACGCGATTGGAATCCTAAACATCCAATCTCATTTTTTTTTTATCGAGCAATAAGTGGTACTTCTTTGGAGAAGTATACCAACACGCGGTTAGATCATGTAGCCTGCAGATGAATAATACATATAGCTATGGAAGACAAATAAGTGTTCTTGAAAACAGTTTTACTCCATATGCGAGTGCTTTGATGTCAGACATAGAAAGTGACGTATTCTATAAATTTAAATGGCTTCTGAATACATTCCATCGGAAAATTTTACATTTGTAAGATAACTGACACACAAGAGAAGATACCGTACAAATTGAAAATGAAATAGACGTGCAATTATTCACACGATACACAATTACACGAATATGATATATACCTATATATTCATAATTAAATAAATAATAGGTATTATAACGGAGGAATAAATACTATAGCTAAGATAATATTTCTCTAAATTAGCATTAATATGTATTTATAGAATTTTCGAACAGAAAAACAACAGTTTTAAATTAATTTACAGATTTTGGACTCAAAGTTTAAAATCAAAAAGTGCTTTTTGAATGAGAAACGAATAAAATGGATTAAAATAAGAAACAAAGTCACATGATAACTATTTTATATACCTAAACAGACAACTTGTATAAAGGTGAATACAATTATTATATGTATAACACATAACCATATAAGCTTTAAATTTGCGGAAGAATAAAAGCTCTTGTTCCTTACTTATGGAAATTTGGGTGATACATTATGCTTGTCACCAAAATAAAGATCAAGATAAATTCCATACCACAATATGTTCTAAGTAGACATCCTTGCAGTATTATTATTCAGTCCCTTCACTTGAAGTCTTAGAAAATTTAAGACATATAGTCACAAGGGAATATAATTGTGTACATCTATGAACAGGCTTGGTACCTATCTTTCAGTCGATTTATAACCAGCATACTACTATGGCCACATATTATATACCTACTGTATACAGCGGTACGCATAATATCGGAGTTTGATGTCGATATAATCACGTTAAGGGTGTGAAAATAACATTTGACAACTCATAAATAAAGATATACAATATAAGTTTTGACATAAATTTAAATTGAACGAATATTATACTACATATTTTATATAGACATATATATATTATATTCCTTTATAATGTGTATGTGCAAGAAATATATATTATATTATATTTATTTATAAAAATACTCATAAATTCTTAAATCTTGAATATTGTATGACGCAATGGTCCACTGGGAAAACTTTATACTTGTAGAAAAGTTTTTTTCATTTTAGTTTTTCTTAAGACGCGTACCTACTACAACACCCGATCCTTGGAGACAATAAAAATCTATTTTTAGCTACATGAAATAGTAGCAATTAAATGGAAAAGTTTTAAAGTTACAGCATAATTTTATACTTATTAAAATAAACAATGAGAATTATAATACAATGTGCAAATGTTGAGACAACATTGTTCTACTATACGAGACATGCATTTCAAATAAATTTTCACCGTGTCACAGTAAATGACTAAATGTCCGTTCAAAATATATTAATGTTGTCTACAACTTGGTAAATTGAATAAAAATGTTCACTCTATATACATTTAAAAACATTATGAAATTTATATATAATACACAGAAAATGTTTTAACACTAATCAGAATAACACATTTTTATGAGTCAGCTAATTATACTATCAATATGATAGAACGATAGATATAGGTACAAATAATTATCATATTATGATGAAATTTAAAAGAACTCATTTCTATAGTAAATCGATTTGTCATCGAATACAAATTGAACAATGTACACCTCTATACCGAAGTGTTTCATAACGAATTTCTTGAAAATATAAGTTTATATTTCTTAAAATGTATTCTCATCGACTTTCCAGTGTCTAAATTTCTATAATAGTACTGATTAGTATCCAATCGATAAACATATACTGCATGAAAATTATACAACTTTTCCTAAATTAAATACATATCATTGTAATATATGTCATCCCACTAATCTATATCCGAAAATTTCTTAAACAACTCAGGTTGTTTTTTATAATGTTGCTTATTTTGTACCTAATGCAATATTAATAGAATATAATATACATGATTAATTATATTTTATCCAAATGACCAGTTATATAGGTAAATGGAATTTATTGATTTCATTCAGTTTATATATAGGCATATACATACACTATACAGAAAAGCTGTAATTTTAAATAAATAAAACTTCGATTAACTTTCAAAAAGTTTAATTAAGTTAATAACACAATGTTATTTGATTTTTAACTAACGGTTACTTGGTAATTTAATATAATAATAATAATTATGRAGAATTGTGGATGCCATGATAATACATCATATTATACTGTAAGTTTAAAATTTGCTTATTTGAAAATAAAGTAAAAGTTTTTTAATAAATACAACACGAGAGGAAAACRTATTTAGTAATATTTTAATTTTAACAGACTCTATAAAGTATAAACCTTAATAAAAATAAAAATAATACAACCAACGGCAACGTTAAATTATTTTATTAGTACGATACTGCGGTTAAAATCCATATCCAAAACGTATGGGTTTGCGTTCCGTAAACGATATATTTATGTAACAATTTTAATATTACACGGACGGTGCAAACAAATTGGTTAAATAAATGTGTGCGGGATTGTTAGATATTCAGAGGAATTGGTCGTAAAATACAAGATGTACACACGTAGGTATAGAAAAGGTGTTAGATTAATAATTTATGGAACGGATAAATATCGCGGTTAAATTAGGGTCACGAACGGATGTGTAGTCGACCACCAGTCATTGAATAATATAATAATTATACATTCATGGAATGATTGTTTGTTTTTCCAGAAATGGGTGGCACGTACTCGACCGGTGGTGTGTTCGTGGTGAAGGAGAAGGAAAAGGGATCAAACAAACAGCGACACCGACGTAAGGATAATATCAAAAAACAAAGCCATGACAATCGGTCCGAGTGAGTGTCAAATATATAATATATATTTATATACAATATAATCCGTATTATATGAGTAATATAATTTAAGATCCCCACCGTTACCAAATATACTTAAAAGTATCATTAGACTTTATGTGGACTTTTATGAATGTTTCCTACCCGAGGGTGTATTATCATAAAAACACAAACAATGACCCCTGCAGGTCGTAAAATTATAGTACGGTGTACAAAAACGTAATTGGGTAGCCCAAAAAAATTGGCTTTCATCCAAGATTGTCRAACTTAAGCGATAACAGTGGACCGTGGGCTTACTTTCGTACGGACACGCGTTACATAAGATARACTCTGGTAAAATAAATAAATTTGTCCTATAATAACTATATAGAATTATAACTTAATACGTTTTGTTCAAAAACAACGGAAAACTGTAAATAACGAACATGAATGATTTTATTCCCCATACAAACATAC